AAAAAAAAAAAAAAAAAAAGGAAAAGGGGAAATCATAGCTAAATGATCTTTATTTACAAAATATTCCTCATGAAATTTTACAAAGAGGTAGCCAACACATAGACAATGTTCTGTAAATCTGTTGTAAAATTTTATAATGACTATCTTATAAATGAAGGTACATTTAGCTACCATTTTCCATTTATGCATGGCGACTTTATGGGTGACCTTTGGGACATCCTGTAGACTTGAACTTCTGATATAGCCTAGAGCTCCACGACACGGAAGTATGTTGGTTGAGCAAATCTCATAATGGAGAGTCTTCTAGTCATGAGGTAGTAAAAGTTGAGGAGTGAAGAGAAATTGAAATCAAAGTCCCTCTCTTCAGGTTGTGTACAGCTTAAAAAAACATCACAGAATGCATATCTGTATCAAGATTCTACCAAGGAGAAATTCAAAAGACCACAGAGCAGTTTTGCACATTGGTTAATATTTGGCCAAGCTCTACTAATATACTGGGAGCAGCAGTCAAGTCAGGCACAGTTTGATTTAAAAGGCATTTTCACTGGGAGAGACCTGGAATAGGTTTTCTACTTCTTATATGTAGAAAAGTCCAGTCAAAGCTACACGGTCATTTCCCTCTACCTGTACATACTGCTCACCTGTGCAGTGGTCCCCGGGGAGTGATGGTCTCTGGGAGATAGTCAACCAGGGGGGCCCAGCATCCTCCAGTACAAGGCATTGGTAAGGGCTGGGGCTGCTTGGTTTCCGTAATAGTTAGCAACCAGCTTGTGTAGGGAGAAATTGGATCATCTATAGGGTGAGAAAGACAAGTGTGCTTTATTTTCAGGAAGAGGATATTTTTGTTTTCCCTACTTGGTATTTTTAGAAAGATTCTCAGAATGTGCACTTATAAAAATAACTTGCCAACCATTTCATTTGGTGAGTATGAATTACATGATCAAATGGGTTAGAATTACTTGTTTAGGTAATTACTTGATTAGTTGTTACTTGCTAACTGATTCATAGTTATTCATTATAAAGCAAAGGAAAATACAGACACACACACACAGAAAAACATTAAATTATGGGAATGCCCATTACTGTGAAAACCTGCTCTTCTTCCAGTTTCCCCATCTCAGGAAAGCTCAGTTCCATATATCCAGTTCACGCCTTAGTCATCTCTGGCCTCCCCGTCACATCCCACATCTACCTCACAATCATGATGGTGCTGACGGTGATAGTAATACTAGGAGCTAGCACAGAGTGCTCACTGGATGCCAGGCATTGTTCTATGCATTTCACATAGTAACAGCTGATGATAAGTACCTATTTTTACCCCTATTTTGTAGAGGGGAAAGTGAGATTCAGTACATGCCATTGTCAACACACTCGGTGAGCTCTGCCTCCAAAACCGCTATCTGACCATCTTTCCCCATGTCCATCATGATGCTCCTAGCCTACGCCACCACACTTTCTACCTGGGCTACCCTTACTGTGTCACTGCTTCTATCCTTGCCCTCGTGCAGTCCACATTCTATGGAGTAGCCAGGGCATTTCTTTTAAATTAAATTCAGTTGTGTCTTTCTCTGCTCAAAACTCCCCAGTGGCTCCCCCAGCAAATCCATGCCATGGCCTCTGAGGTCTTACCAGGTCTTCCCCCTGTACCTCTCCTCACTTATCTCCTATGACCATCCTCTTGCTCACTCTACCCCAGTCACAGGTTTCCTTTGAGTCCACCCAGCCTCAGGGCCCTCACATCTGCTACTGCCTAGGGCTGGAATGTCCTTCCCAGACAGCTGCCTGGCTTAATCCTTTGCTTCATTAGGTTCTTTGTCCAAATATCACTTTCCCACAGCAGCTTTCCTTAACCCCTGGGCACAGAGCACTGATTCACCAGCATTGCCTGCTCCCTGCCCAGTGTAAGTTCCAGGAAGGTGAGAACTTTCTCCATTTGGTTCACTGCTGTGTTCCTACTACCTGCAATGGTGCCTGGCATATAGTAGGGGATTAATAAGTATTTGTTGAGTGAATGAACTCCATAACAATATCTCTAAAGTGAGCACAACAACTGATTTCATGGCGTTATTTCTTATTATGCTGTCAGTACAAGTCAGCGGCATTCAAGGTAAGCAGTTCCCCTGGGGATGCTACGACATCTCCCCTTCTTCCCCCCCAGTATGTGGCTTCAGTCAAGCAGGCTTAATTTTGGGAAAATTTAATGGATTAGGTAGAAATATGTATTACACTGTCTTTAGGAAATTTCCCCCAAATATAGTTTTTCTTGGTTGCACTTCTGAAAGGTAGCAGAAGGTTGCTGACTTGATGCTGCTGGTCTTATGTAGAACAGTGGCCTTAACAGTTAGCAGAGCTGGTGGGAGGGAAGCTTTCCTGTTGTGACAACAGGGCTTTGAACAAGGACAGGCATTAGAACCATGAACACCCCACTTCTCCAGGGATGTGAGAAATTTTCAGTCAGTGAGGCCAGGATTTCCCTCAGAAAAAGTGACTGTGGGCACTTATTGATATACCAATAAATGAGCACCTGGCACCCTAGAATTCTATGCCATGAAGCTTGGCCACAAAATTTTAGCCTGGAAAAAATTTAAAGCAGGTACACTAGTAACTTATCTCAGTTCTAACTCTCAGTAAATTGCCTGCAGAATGACTCCCTTTCAGCAAATTAACTACTGGAATAGCTGTCTAATATAAGTTAGTTTCCGAATGTACCTCTAAGTAATTAGCTGCTCTTCAACAAAACTGGAAGGGGGAGTAACAAAGGGAGACTATTGAGGAATTAAAAGGAAAAAAACAACTTGTGAGATTTTGGTTAGGAAAGGATATTTTTTGTTTCAATGATATTCTCAGATTATATCCAAACAGTAAAAATGTACCAAGGACAATTCAGGTGGAATAAAATGCATTTTTTTTTTGTTGTTGTTGTTCTCAAAGTTTGGGTCACCAAATATTTCCACAGTAACTTTTCCTGAACTACCAACTCCATTTCTCTGGTACTGCTTTCTTCATCTCTACAATATGGTCCTTTCTAGAACTAATGGTCTGATGTCCTGAGATTCAATTGTTCAGTTTGGGTGGTGTAGTCCTCTGCTTGGACACAAAAAAAGAAGAAAAATACAAACAGCTTTATTTTACCTCTTCTTGACAGTTCTAGGAAGTGTCTTCCCCAGACATAGCTGAAACCTCAGTTAGAGCATGAACATTACATATGGATTGCAAACATTCCTTCCACTGGTATTTTGAATGGTGAATAATTGCCTGTCTGTGTCTACATAAGTAGGGCCAGGTTACCTGAAATGTGGCATCATTATAACCACCTTGCTCTTACCTGAATCTACACACTTCCCACTAAAATAAAACAACTGGCTCATGCCTGTAATCCCAGCACTTGAGACGCCCAGGTGGGTGGATTGACTGACCTCACAAGTTTGAGACCAGCCTGAGCAAGAGCAAGACCCTGTCTCTAAAACTAGCCAGGCACCTGTAGTCTCAGTTACTTGGGAGGCTGAGGCAAGAGATCACTTAAGTCTAAGAGTTTGAGGTTGCTGTGAGCTGTGACGCCATGGCACTCTACTGAGGGCAATAAAGTGAGACTGACTCAAAAACAAAACAACGACCATAAAGGTTTATGCACTGATTTACAAAATAAACTTAACTCATGATCACTATATTAGTAATTTCTGCCAAAGTAGAAAAATACATCCCACCAGATAGTTCACTGATTTCCTTAGCACATTTAAATGTCACTGGGAACATTCTGTGGTTCCAGAATTCCTGTAACTCAAGACCAACTCATACTCCGTATCTGCTCAGTGTCTATAGCAGCTGCCTAGGACTTACAGAGAATCAGTGAATGTATTGGCCTTTTTGGTTTCCCAACAGCCAAACGAAGTTCCTGTAACAAATCTATCTCCCAGGTTAGCAAGGTTTTCATCTGGCTACTGAGACTATGCCGCTGAGAGAGTCAACGTGAAAACTGATCCTATCCTGAGTGAATAGACTCACAAAGCTTCAAGGCTAAATGCACTCCCAACAGAGGCTGGAAAACTGAACTGCAACACATGTTTTCTAATGGGCCAATGTCTTTCTAGCCTTTTCCCAACTGCCTCACCAATGAAAAATGCCAAGAATATAAAAATATGGCATTGGGTAGCAGTTTGAGTTTTTATAATATTGATTTGTCCATTGGTTGGCTTTTTATGGTTTTTAAAAATTCAGATTGGTATGAGGGTGCAAACGATCAGGTTACAATATTTATATTTCATTGGTCGGCTTTTCCAAAAACCTTTAAGATGCCGACTCTATGTTCATCTGCACTGTTGGCTTAAATGGCTACTTAACATTTATAGACCCTTTTTAGTGATTAGACCAAGGGTAATAGAAATACTCATTTTCCATTCTCTGGCCATTTGCATCCCAATGAAAGCCACCAGCCTGTTGATACTTACTTTTATCCTCATCGTATGATCCTCCCGAGCTATTGCTATATCTTGACTCGAGGCGAGTGTGGGCTCTGATGACATTACTGAACCTTCAAATACAAGAACAATTGTCATGAAATATTGACATGTGTATGTATGTGCTGTCACTCAGAGACAGACACTGATACACAGAGGTTGATTTTTTGCTACTACTTCCAAATATGTTTTTCATGAAGGAATACTGTATCCTAAATATTTCTTTTTTTTTTTTTTTAATTTTTTTGAGAAGACCAGTGGTCATTCTTGCTCAAAGTCACAGGTTCAAACCTTAAAAAGATAAAAATCTTGAGACTAATCTTTCAATTGAACTAGGAAATGGTAACATTTGCTTTGGAAAGAAAAAGGACATTAATACTGAATAATATGATTCCCTTATTCACATAGCCTGGCACAAGTGGTGGTCAATGAATGTTTATGGGGTGATAAAACAAGTGACAGAATTGGAAACACACAAAAATAGTTTCACAACAAATCTTGGACTTTACCTGGCTTTAAGTTTCCCCTAAAATAGTCAGTGTGTTTAAAAGGTATGAGCTGGTGTTCAGCAGGACCAGGGAGACTTTTGTCTGGTCTCTCTTGTGGCTTATTAAGAGGTAACCAAAAAAGAAAAAAAAAGGCTGATGTAGTTTCATGCACATTATCTGATTTGATCTTGCTCACTTGCCTTTGAGTTAAGCATTATTTTCCTTGCAATGATAACACTGAAGTGAAACAGCTTGTCCCGTGTAACCACAGGGAGGTGCAGGCAGCTGGCATGCCTCCCAGCGTGGAACCAACGTGTGGCTCTGAGGCTGAGGTCGTGCTCACTAGCTCTGCGATGTTGGCCAAGGCCTTTACTTTCTTGGGGAACTTGGTCCCACAACTGCAAAATGGGAATGATAATAATACTTCACCTTTTATTTTTGGGGGGTTATTCTTGGGATCCAAAGTAATGATGTGAGAGTGTTTCCAAAACCACAAGACACTACCCAACTATACTAGGAAGCCTTGTCTCAGGGCCACCAAAGGCTTCCAATCAATAGCATGTGTGTATTTATCATTCTACAACCTATGTGGAAGAGGAAAGGTTTGGTTCAAGGGAAAATGGCACATTCCTATTTATGTTACATAAAATGATACATGGTAGGTTTTATCTACTCAACTTGTATACAGCCAGAGAAGATAACTGAGGCTATCTAGAAATATCTGGAAAATTCAAGCCCAAACAGATGTGTCTCCCTACATTACTAAGTGAGTGCTGTGACTTGTAATAGTTCAACACTCTATGTCCCTCTGGGACACTGGAAGATGCAGGGCTATAGCCATCCTCACCAATGTATAGAGAAAGCAATGATTCAGGAAAAACTAGCAGATGTGTCCCTGAGATACTCACCTTGCCACAGGTGCATAACCTCAGAATATTACATCAGTGAGTTGGATTTGCTGAATTATAAAATGTGACAGAGTGTGCTAACTCTGGCTTTATTCACTTAGATATTTGCAACAGCGTTTTTTCTTCTTCCTGATACAACCAATTTTTCCCCAGTAACTTCACACTCTGAATATTCATATCTCTGGGACTATTACTTGGTAAATCTATAAAAACAGAATATCTAGGACATCTGTTTAGTGGCACACAAATCAGGCCATGTACTCATCTAAATCAGACTGGCACTTAGGAATTTAGCAAAGTGACAAAACTATTACCTTCTGAAGACATTTTTTAATCACTTTTATGCTGATACATCATTAAGCAAGGAAGAAAAGCAGGTACTGACAGAAAGCACGTCTGGAGATGTCCATCAGGCAGAAAGACCTGCGGCATTCCTGGCTACAAACTGTGATGAGTACCAGATTTTAAATCATGGTCTGGAGGACCCAGGAAGGGAAGAATGATGGAACACATGGCAATTCTTCTCTTTTCTTTTTTGAGATAGATTTAAAGGGCTTTAGGTAGAGTTGATAAGGCTGAAGGAAAGGGAGGAGCAAGCCACGTCCAGACTGTTTTCCTTGCTCTGAAGATGAAACTACAGTGCTGCAGAGTATATGCTTGACAAAGAAAGAGCACAACACTGACTCTCAACAGTAAAATCTGGTATTTCCCTTTGCTTTCCTGGGTAGAAAAACCTTATTTGGGGTCTGGTCTCTCTATAGAGTTTCTCTCTAAGAGTTTCAAAGATTAAGTACATTGAAGACCCTTTTAACATCAAAGGTTCATGTCTTAAGAAACATGAAAATAGCTCTGATAAGAGAAAAACTAGAAGGATAAACTGTTTCCCTAAGTTTCATCTGGCAGATTTAGCTCAAATTAATACTTAGGCAATTGTATTAATAGTATATTAATAAATACTAATGTATATGAATACTGTCAATTCAGATGGTATTAATCTCTACTTCTGTTTCAAACACAGATCCTCAAATATTTATATAGCTTTAAAGTTTTTTGCTTTAGCTCCCTTTGAAAAATCCTTTTGTGGGACTATAAATTTATAAAGGGGTTTAATTAAGGGTTGATAGATTAGAAATACTTATGCAGATTAATTCTGTATATTTTAAAATAGCTACCAACTGCTATTTTAATAAAATCTACGTTCATTTTGTTGTCTAATGAAATAGACACGATCACTCTCAGAGTTTAGGGGTGCTTTTTATTAGTAATCTCTGATGAAGACTTTCTTTTAAAAAATACAGTGAGACTTAAAAAATTTGGTCTATTTTTCTTCTGGCTTTGGGGGCCTCAGAGACAGGTTAATAAGTTGTACTAGTCTTCCTCAGTTAGGACTTTTGACACAACCATCTTCCCCTGCTGGTAGTTTGGCTCTTGTTCTTACCCTTGATTTACTGATCTTTTACTATGAGCTACATGGTTCGTTTGGTTTTTGTTGGTAGGAAGGCTTATTGCATATTACTAAAGCACATTAATGAAGCATTAATTTAGTTATGAAGAACATGGCATTGGAGAGGCTGCTTTGCCTAATTCCACGGTGCTTCCTGGAAATGACAATGTGTCCTGTGAGGACAGCCCCTGGGACTTGGGCAGCACAGCCACCTGGGTGGTGTTTCTGGACCACACTGCCTCTGTAGACTCTGCCTACAAGGAATAAAAGGATCAGACAATCACTGTCTTCTGTGATGGGCCAGTGAAAGGGAGGGAGAAGCAGAGCCTGCAGGGTGCTCAGATGGCTTACCCACCTGGGGGGCTGGGACATTTCTCCTATTTTCACTCATTCACAGACATTTTCAAATGCCTACCATGTGCAGCACACTATGCTAATCACCAAGGATAGAAATGTGTCAGAGGTATGTAGCGTCCGTTCTGTAGGAATCAAAATCTAGGAGTGGGGATGAGCATGTGTGTTAGTACCTGTAAATTTTGGCATGCCAGAGACTAAAAGGAGGCAAGGGTGATAAGTAGATTGACGAGAAAGATTGAATTTTAGGCTAAGGCACAGCCTACTTTCACAAAAAAGAAAAAAAACTTAGTAGAGAAATAGTATAGGTAGAGTATAAGATCAATGGAATAGTGGTATCCATTGGGATGGAATATTCATACACATATATTTGTGCCTCTATTTATGAATATGATCTATCAGTATATTTCTAGGCAGATATATTTGGTATAGAATCTGATGTGAATGAATATGAGATATATATATGAATATATGTATATATATAGATAATCTATATCTATATATAGATAGATAATTGCTTCAAGTTTTCCAATGGCCAACAGAGATACAGAGACAGAGCAGGAGAGCCAGCGCTAAATGAGAAAACATCTCTCAAAGATGCTCTCTGATCTTGATATTATAGGGACAATTGTCTTCTTAAGTTTAAAGGCTACAACTAAAAGCTTAAGCAGGACATTCAGAATTCTGGTCCTCAAGAGGCCTTTGTAATGATATGTTAATATGCAAAAATCTATCACCTTTCTAGCTCAAGTAAAATTCAGATAGGAAATCGGACTAAACAATAAACGATCATAATGTTACACTCCATTCAGAAAGTAAAATATGTTTAGAGAATGTGATTTTTACCATGAAGTGGTTTTACAAAAAAAGGAAACACCAAATATTGATTAAACAAAACAAAACAAAGCTAATTAACAACCTTGTATTTTCAACAATGTATGGAATATGAAAACCTTTACTCATTTCTGAGAAAAAAAGAAGGCCTTTTCTTTATTGTATTAAAGAACAATAAAGGACGGGGTCTATAATTCATGATCTGAATTCCCGTCTGCAGGAAGCCCCTACAGATGGGCATCGCCTAAAAGCCACACAGCTGCTCAGTGATGCAGGGAGGAATCTGGTAGGCGCCTGAATTAGAGAACGTGCCTTCAGAACTCACAGACAAGAAGGCCCCATGCCAGGTAATCTTCTCTTTCAGCCCCTGCTGTATTCCAGCACACATGATGAAATCTGAGGACGCTCATGAAGCATTTTGGGCTTTCTAGAGGGCATTTTGGGCTAAGTGGATAAGTTTCATTATTTATTTATTGATCTATTATTTATTTATTGAGACAGAGTCTAACTTTGTTGCCCTCGGTAGAGTGCTGTGGCATCATAGCTCACAGCAACCTCAACTTCTTAGGCTGAAGTGATCCTCTTGCCACAGCCTGCTGAGTAGCTGGGACTACAGGTGCCTGCCACAATGCCTGGCTATTTTTAGAGATGGGGTCCCAGCCTAGTTTCATTATTTGATCCTTTCAAGTTTTCTCTAATTTAAATCTGTGAATGTCCCATCCTTGTTACTAATTTCTCAAGTAAAAGGGCTCTCTCATTACCTTTCACTATAAAATGCTTAGCCAAAAGAGTTTCCAACACCATGAGGGTCATTCAGATTTTTATTTTTTAATTTGAATTCTTTTTCTCTCTCCTGGTGCATATTATTTACTTACGAGAGGTTCATAGGCAGTGAGAAGGCAGAGATGTGGGCAGAGAAGTATTATCATTAAAGATCTAATGTAAAGGGGATGGAGACTTCTTTAGCAGCAAAGATAGTGTTTCTGGTTAAATAAGACACGATAAAGCAAAAATAAAATAAGAGTGATAATGTTTCACAGAACTCACCTCAAGGCATCTACTCTATCCCAAGGAAATTATTCAACAACCAGATCTGAAAGTTTCACATGGTGATTCCCTCTAATTCCAGATGGTCTGTGCCCAGAATTAAGCCCTGGGGTGCAGGGGATTTTGCTATCAAAACAACACACCTGCTTATCTTTCTCTCCTCTGACTTTGTGTGGGAAGAAGTGTTATCTTTGGGGATATCCAGAAGAGAGTTGGAAAGTGAGTCTGTTTCCAAAAACAGAGGATTTGGGGTATATGTATAATTTATGAAACCCCACAAACTCATACTGATGCCTGGGTAAAGGCTACTATTGAAAGTTATAGGGAATATTATGTCAAATTTGTGCACCAACCTTTCATCAGTTTCTTTCAATACCTTGCTCTCCTCAGCATCGGGGAAATTGTCCTGGCCAGCAACCACTGTATTGCTGCTGGATGTGGTTCCTGCAGATAGTATTAGAAAAAAGCTACTTGATAAAAGATGTAATGGAGATGTCAAGCTCAATGATTCCAGGAAAGGATTCCTCATAAAACCCCATGTTTGACAGATTTCTTACCTCTTCTGCACAATCTCAGACACTCTAAACAAACTTCCAAGCCCACACCACTAAAATGGGAAAATCCGAAACATTTGTTATGGTCAAACCAAATTCCTTAACTCTCTTGTGAAATGAGGCTACGACATTTTTGAAACCTTTTCTTCCTGGCCATTTAGGTAATGAGGCTATTTATAATGGTCGGCTCTGCTGTTGGCTGCATTAGTATTTCTGGGTCCAGTTATTAAACTAATGCTAGTGAGGCAAGTCCAAGTGCCCAGAGCTGCTGATTCCTGGGTTTATGCATCTCTGTAAGTGCACTGCCCTCGCAGCAGGGTGCAAGGCAAAAGAGGGCATAAGATACCAGCAGAGGAGAGGAATTGGAAGGCAGATATATTTGCTAAACGAAGGGAAATGGCTTCAAGGGATTTGAGAAGGATGGTATATATTTCACTAAACAATGCCAAGACACCAATTTATTAAGAGTGATACTGTTTTTGAGGGGTATTTTGATCAACCCTGAGAGAATATTAGCCCCAGGAATCCCACAGATACCAGAGTTAGGGTCCAGGAGTGAGATTCTTGAGTGACTGTAGTGTCTTGGCTAAGACTGACCTGAGGTAAAAAGCTCGGTGGCGGAGGAGTAACAGGCTACTGATTCTTGGTCATCCTCATAAAATGATTTCCTTACTCTGGCAATGCCCTAAGTGTCTCAGTAAGCACTCCTTAAGCCATTTCTCTCTCTCTCTCTCT